ATTATATGTGAAGGTTTTTGCATACATTGCACTGGATGTTAAATAACATTATACAATAGCATCCAACAATTTTTTGTAAAACTTAGACTTAGGTTTAGTTTTGTACCAAGATTAATCCTGTTTTGTGCAAAAAAAGTGTGAAATTAATGTTAGAGTGACTTACGGGTTTTTAAGAAGCATATCTATTCGACCACGTGTTTCCAAGAAAATTTAATAGAATAAAATAGGTATTTTAGAAATAATTTTAACTGATATGTTTTTATTAAATTAAAAATATTAATTTCAAATGTTTTAGTTACTATCGATATATGATCAAGGTTAAAGTAATTAGTAAAAATGTCATTAAGCCTGATATTACTATTTTCTGTATTAGCCATGGGTTAAAAAGTTAGTTTATTCGTAAACAGAAACAATCAATTAAAATGCCAAAATAAAGAGGTATACGAGAAATATATTGAGCATCGGTCGGGCGGATACGGAAACGCTTGTGCACTCACCATGCAGTAAAAATGTCTGCTAGGTTTAAATACTCAGTTTGTGTTTGTTTTGTTTTTATATTTATGAAAATAAAATATATCTTTGCCCTGTGCATGTGCAAGTCCCTTGCACAGCTTCTAAGTATTGATCATAGAATCCTTGCAGCTTGTGTAGAGAGATTCAATTCACGGATTTTCAGACTAAACAAACTATCATTCTTTATTTAAATTGTACGTTTTATTACTTGAGCCTAAAGTGGCCGTTTTCTACATGAGCTTACGATCAATGATAATGATACATAGTGCCTACCTTTTAATGTTGGCTACCAAAATTAAATCCATCTATTTTTAATTATTCGCAAAAAAAGATTACTGACGTATTTATATTTTGTAAGTCTAGTATTTAGTTACCTGGATCGACATTACCTTAGGTTTAATGTAAAAAGTCACTGTGTAGCTGACAACAGTGTGCAACCATGTCTAGATAAACCAATCTGCAATTATTCTCAGCTAATTTACAAGTGACAAAACTAACGTAATTCCAACTACACAATTTGATTCTTTTTCACCCGAAGGACAAAAGTATAACCCTTAAATAAAAATGGCAACTTCTTTAAGGATGAACTATCTATTTATATTTTAGGGTTATATTTTGATCCATTGGGCGAAAAAAATCTGATGTAACTTAAACGACCGCTATTTCTACAGTCTGAAGAATTTTACATAAATAACCGAAAAGTGCGGAGTGATACATTTTCGAACAACAGTTAAATTAATTGGTTGTGGTAGAAAACAGCACAGAATACTAAAACCTATTAATTATTGTGATTCAGATTGTTTTGTTGGTGAACTATCTGCTGGTTTGTTGAACTCTGCTCAGCCAAATATCCATGTCTGCAAACAAGCGAGGTCTCATCAGCTAATCTGTTGTTGCTACGGAACTCTCTACGTCTGGAGTTTAACCACAAACTCCATCAGTGGCAAACAAGTTAAATATAGCCCCACACCACAAGAGAGCCAGTGTTCGTTTATATCAGAGTGTTTAACTATTTACTAGTTCGCCTAACAAAAATTAGCAGTTTTCATCGGTATTCAAGTACATAGTTATAAATTTCCTTTGTTTTTAGTTTTTTTAGTTGGCTATTCCTTTTGTTTAGTTTTATTTAAACATACTTATAAAAAAAGAAACGTACACACGTACAATAACGCTCAGTTGAATAACCGAGAATGCATACTTAGGCTTGCCGCAACGATTCTAAAATTATGTTCCGATTATATAAGCAAATCTTCTCAAATCCTGTGACGATATTTTTTAATATCACTCAATACGTGTAATTTTGCACTAATGTTTTAGTAACAGAAAAACCTATCATTTTAATATTACTTATTATGCTGTTTATGGTAATTAGAACCGGACGATATACTAGTTTTTCAAACTTGTTAAGAACATTTTGTGTTGTATTAACTACTGGACCTTCAGCCCTCTCCTTTCCGACGTCTGATCAGGCTAGTTCATCAAATAATTTGTTTAAATGTATTTAAAGACGTTTTATAAACTTGTTTCATTTTTAAACGACGGTTTATTAGGCTTCTGAGAATCTTAAAAAGGACAATGCTCACGAACCTAAATTGTTCAGTGTAGATTAAACTGATAGTTTCTCACCTTTCAGAAAATGTACAGAAGAAGTATGAAAGACAGTAAGAGAATTTATTTACATAATTCAAATAGTTTAGATAGTAGTTTGGATAGAGGGAACTAATATTAAATGTTTAAGATTGGACGTTTGTAAGTATGTCACATGGTCAATCGCATGAAAATTACTGGACCAACTGGGCAACATATTTCCATGAATAAAGACACACTTCATATACCTACAAAGCATCTTTTAGCATAGGAAGTAGGACTAGTGTGTAAAAATGAGGTAGGATAACAAATAGACTCATTTTTTCCTATGTTATTAAATGTTGATTTGAATGATTTATCAGTATAACTACAGTGAAAAGAAGGACAAAACTTGCTTGGATATACCGATTCCTCGGAGAAGGTCTGTGAGATTAATTACCTACAAATTCAAATGAACGGATAAATATTTGTATTAAATAAGATGTTAAAACACTTTGGAACAATAGATAAAAATAGTTTATTCTTTCATTTATTTAGTCATTATGTTCTGATTATGTACTTTAATTGTGTTTAAAACGTATTCAAGCAATATCACATAAAGAAATATGATTTGAAGTGTCAAATAATTTTAAGTGACTGTAAATGAACCACTTATAGACAAATTTTCATGAATCAGCACTTTGACAACTTTTGATCCAAAACTGAAAATAAACAACTCACTCCAGGGATTCTGAATCGAGTTCTGAAAGTGCCATTTCTTGGAATTTGGTTTACAAGGCAAAAAGTCAGAATATAAAAAAATGGAGCATTATTAGTGAATAAAAATATATATATTGTGCGTATGAAAATATTTATCTTATGAAAATTATTGAAGTACTATCGGCCTCCAATATACAGGGTTTTAAAAAAGATAGGGACTTTAAGTTTATTGGGTAAATTGCGGAGAACGTCAAGAATAAAACTGTTTCTCTAATCACTTCGATAATCAGGCATCCGCAATTTTTTACATAAATATGTTTATCTATTTTTTTTACCGAACATTATGGAATGTTGGTGAATTGGTATGTATGTTAAGGTTTAAGAGACACATATTAGAAAAACTTCATCTTAGTTCAATTACAAATTTCAAAATTGTGGTCATGTTTTTAAATTTTACTAAGAAATAGCAGATGTTATGAAAAATTGTCAAGAATACATGAATTTGCATTTAAAATGTCCTAACCGACTTCAAAGTCAAAAAGATCGAATAAAGTAGAGCTAAAATATCAGGATTCTTTATTGTAAAATAGGATATTTCAGCATATTTTATTCGATCTTTTTGAATCTTGGTGTTGTCTGATAGCAAATTAAAAATTGAAACTGTTAATGCAAAATAAAAGTGTTCATGCAATTTAATCATAAAATCAGCTATTACTATGTAATTACAATTTAAATAATAAAATATTGGCCGAGATGATATTTTTTTCAACATAGGTATCCTTTACCTTAATATACATACCAAGGTTCCTAATGTTCCGTCAAAACAATCTTAAGATAAAAATTTTAATGTAAAAATACAAAATAATGGCAGATATCTGAATAACGAAGCGATATTGGAAAAAGTGTGGTATGACTAAAACGTCTACAGTTAAAGTTTTTAGTTTAAGTTTATATGATCGGCTATTGAAAATACTCGAATAAAAAATACGACACAATTAAACATTCTAAGCCATACCCGTTAATCAAAAATCAAACATATATTATAAATATGTTGATATTTAATAGGGTTTTATCGAAATATTTCTAAACCAATGAAAACCCTCACCCTTCATTCACGTTGTGTAAAATCCTAGATAAAATATGATGGAAAATTCGCCGCAAGAGTTACGGGGTGATGCGATTAAAGGTAAACATGATTTACAAAGATGAACATTTGAGTGGGCTCCGTGGAGCGGATAAGGACCAAACGTGGCTTCCATAAACTGATAAGGCAAGTTTATACGCTGCCGTGATGTATTACAGTGGTTGGTGAGGTGAAATCGTTGAATACTTCTCGTCCGTTATACGGCTTTAGGGTAGAAAAAATATATATTTGCATTGTAATGTAAAAAAATTAACAATTTTCATATTATACATATAACTTTTAGTTAACTGGGTTTGAAATACCTCCTTAGACGTGACATAAGAAATCATCAGTAATATTTTTTTTTTTATTTAAGTTGTGAAAAACCATTTGGCAGAATTGCATTCATGTTAAATAATATTTTATCATTGTTTTTGTTTTGTTATCTTAACATTTTTAACAAATCTTAAAAAAAGATATGTTATAAGCTAACACATAAATAATCTGGACTATGTATGAATGACAATTGGTCAAACGTATAATAAAAGAGTATTAAATATTTAGTAATGCTTTTAAAATAAATAGTAGGAATTTATACGGAAATGAATATGAATTACAGTTTTAATAAACTTTTTTAATGATGTAGTGAAATTCATCTACAGTATATAAAACTCAAGTATAGCGTAATATTTTTGATATTTTTAAACTAAGTGTTTTTATATAGATTTTTTTACAAATAAGCTTTTAGTACAAAATACTATGTTTCTATTAAGGTGTGGCTTTAAGGAAAGATATCCTAACACACATTCAATCCTTGTTTAAGAGACCTGTTTTTTAACCATAGGCCTTAATATTAAAACTAAGCCCCAAATACTATATCACAACACTATAACAAAGTAAATCAACTATTAATTGAGTTTAAACACAAGGCTTTTTCCTTCTTTCTAAAAACTTTATTGGGTCAACTAGCCAGATTAAAATGCTACTAATGTTTGAAAACTGAATAAATTTAATGTTTCACCCTAATGCATAGCAAATTGTACTTATTGTCCTAACAAGTATGATTTTCTGTTGCCAGAGATGTACGAGAGCTTTCTATAGTATGCGGTGAACAACGCGCCATGGGTAACACGGCGACCGGGCGTCGTAACTCGATGCTGCCGAAGCAAGAGAGCAGCAGCAGCGAGAGCCAGGGAGGAGCAAAACTTGGGAGGAACTCTCGGCAGAACACTCTGCAGGAAGAGGAGGAAGAGAACTTCGTCGGAGAACCAGAACCTTTGACAGACAGACAGAAGGAACTTCTGGTAGCGAATTGGAAGGTTGTGGAAGGAGATATCGCCAAGGTCGGGGTGATAACATTTATCAGGTGAGAGTAGATTGGAATTTCTACGTGACAATGGAGGGTATTTTAAAAGAAAATTAAACAAGTTATACTCTATAGTTAACTTTGTAACGTCGCTATAATTGTTGTGAGCATAAAAAATATTTTCTGAAGAATTTCATTTAATTTAGTTGTAACCTCATGACATTTCTGACAATGAATGAATATATTAAGACAAATAAAACAGGTATGAATTATTTGAATAAATTAAAAGGATATTGAAAAAAATTTAGTTGGTCAACGAACAAAGAAATGTTGAACTAGATAAAGTTTTTATAGGTTAAGCATTTTATATCTTATATTTTAAAATGTAGGGGAAAATTTATTTTGGATGTCACACAAAACCGTAGGTTATTTATTTTAGAAACGTAAAAAATATTTGGTGTTTCATTTTGTATATCCCCTGTTTTTAGGGTAGCAACGATACTCTAGAGCTAATATAATAAATATATATCATAAAACAGTTTGGTAACTTTGATAGATAAAACGATCATCATTTTATATTAATATTATTCTTTTAGACAGTGAAATAATCTGTGAGAGTATTTTACGCTGAATATGAAGGCATGATAGCTTATAATAAGAAAAGACTATTTGTGTAGCAATGGCTTTAACCATTTATTGAAAGCCTTAAAGGCAACTGGATTCTTTAGGAATTTTTTGATACAGGTGTTTTTTTTTTTTTTTTTTTTTTTTTTGGAAATGGGAAGACAAAATGTTACTCAAAATAGTAATAAAACCTCAAGATTAATGTATTGAAATAATAGAATCTTTAAACTACGTCACTGGTAAAACAGTGTTTTCTTATCAGTACATAACTTAATCTACCTTCATCCACCTTACTCAGTACTTAAGTATTTAAAAACATACCCCACAAATTGCATTAAACTAGATTATTAAGTTATTTCAAGATATTTAAATTATGTATTCATAGCAATTCAGGTATTTTAAACCTTCGATTGTGTAGCTTGTTCGAGACGCATCCAGATGTCCAACAAGTATTCTTGCCCTTCAACGGTCTTCCTATTGACGAACTGAAACACAGTAAGCAGCTTCGTGCTCATGCTTTGAGGTAAATTTAATGTAAAAACAGAACATTTATTACATGTTTATTATTGCAATATTAGTTAAATTTACAATACTAGCTTGTGGGAACTTTTACTAACGATAAATGCTTTAGCTTGCTGTCTGTGCACTCAATATTTGTGTTTGTTAATTAAAAACTTACAATATTGTGAATTTTTACACGAATTTTTTTAAGACAAATATTATGCTTCAGGTAGTACTCGAATGTCTGTAAACAATCAAATGTGTTTTGATATATCAATTTAAAATATACAATGTATATCATTTAATATTTCTTTATTTATGACGATATTTTTAACTCATACAGTTTTTATTTTAAAATAATGTAAAATATCATCCTAACCAAATAGAAACTTACACTACTCAAGAACAAGAAAACAGGGTCGTATTGTGCTTGAACTTCAGTTTGAGTTTGAAGCACCCCATTGCAGCTTCTGGCCATTCAACTCCTGGAACAGTTCAAGAAGTTGTAGCTTCAACAAACAAGGCATAAACAATGGATTTCTCAGTTGAACTTAGGTGCAGTTTGATCTGCAAGCAGTTACAGTAAACATTTTACCATACTGTAGTATAATTCAAACCTGTCTTGTTATTTCAATCTAGCTTAAGAGTATCAATCGAATTTTGTAAAAGAACGCACCGTATTCGGTCGTGCAACATTTGTTAGGGGGCTAAGAAAAATATAAAACGGATGTTGATATGATTACCAAGAAGTTTTAGGTTGCACTACAAAGAAGTAAATGCTGTTTATAATATTTAATACAATGAGAAAAAAGTTTTAAGGATTGTAATAATAAAGCAACCATAAAATCCTAACATGGGCAAACACAATGTTGTTTACACAATTTTAAATTCATCGGATTCCTTTGATTATACTTAAGTGTTAGGGCTAATTTTCAGAAGTTTTTTGAATGTTGTTATCCTAAGTAATTTGACACCATGAATATTATTTTTATTCTTTATCTAAGATATCTCCTACAACCTTTAAGGCCACATTATGTATTAGTTGGTATGTGTGATAAAAATACATACATCCACACAAACATAACTCATATTTGATTATTGGATATAAACGTATTTCAGCACCTATCTTTAATAGTACTGTGAAAAGGAAACACTATTGCCATTGTTTAAATTAAGACAAATTGATTAAGATAATTGATAAATATGTTACAGAGTTATGGCGTTCGTTCAGAAAGCAGTAGCTAGATTAAATGAACCTGAAAAACTTACTACCTTATTGAGAGAACTTGGGAAGAAACACCATGGCTACGGGGCAAAGCCTAAATATGTAGACGTGAGTACCTGAAAAGGTTTATTCTATACTATGTTATTATTTACTTAGCTAACTATATAATTTAAACAATTGTATACACATTACAGTAATCATATACACCAGGAACCTTTTTTACATATTAAAAAATTAAATAATAGCATCATATTTTGCCAATATAAAGAAACATCGGTGGCTACATCTAAAATCTCTATGCTATGGACGAAATCAATAAAATCATAGGCCAAAAACCTATTTTGAAAAGTATGCGCTAATAACAGTTTTTATATTAATGATACTATTTAAAGAAGGTAATGATTGGTGAACTAATGAACTAATGGAGAGCAATCTTAAAGTTCATTTGGCTTGAACATAATTGCCCTTATTATATTTAATTTGTTGTGAGTATTTCATTCGTATAGTACTGTAACCACACGGGCTTTATATAAACTGCTACAACCAATTGATTTACATTTGTGCAATCTAGTAACAATTTCAAAATTAATTAGTATCTTGTCGATCAAATTACTAGCTTTAACTATCATTTGAAATCTCTCTAAAAGTGGTAAATTGCGTTTTTTTCAGACAACGGTCAAAACCTTGTGTTTCACATCACTCCGGGGGTAACCGCATCAAGGAGCTAAATGAAAGCTTACAATATCATATTAATCATAACTCAATCACTATTCTTTGTTCTAGCTGATTGGACCACAGTTTATTCTCGCGATAAAACCATCACTTGAAGATCAGTGGTCCGAAGAAACTCACGCGGCGTGGACTGCTTTGTTTGCCTTTATGGGAGCGATTATGAAGGAGGCGATGTCAACTGAGGAGGCCAGCCAGAGGGCGCAATAGCAGGGGCGGAGGAGGTCCTCGTTCTCGAGACGGCGCTGGAGCATCGCTCGGTCCAAGCAGTAACCTCCTCCTCCACCTTCCTCGACAGTACCCGGACCACAAGATTAGTAACCATGTACGTGTCGCTCTGTCTGAGATACCTGGATCTCTTATTTCATGAACTCTGAATGTGAATGAAAGTTTTCTCAATTTCCTACATGAACTACACCTTACTGCTACTATATGAGACTATAAATCTGTGGTATTATGACATAATATTATTCAAAGTTACCAAGATCATTAAGATTGTGTGGTCGGATTCGTTATTCTCATAACTGTTTAGTCTCTCGCGACCAAACAGAAATTGTTTAAAATAAAATAAAAACGATTCAACACGCTGAAACATCCCGTATTTACATCAATCATTTTGATCTATTCTCTATAATTTTTTTTTTTAATTCAGCACTAGAAAGGCAATACACCTACCTTTATGAACGCATCTCCTAACTCAATAGCCGTATTTGATCAAAATGGTATATAAGCATTCGGTTAGAATATTTTATGAAATTATTTCTTTCCTTTCTTTACTTTCAACCCTTGCGATTAAGAACTATCCAAAGCCACATACATTTATTAATTTTTACTAGCACTACGTATCAAAAAATATACAATATAAAAATTTTAAAGGGTTATTTATTTACGTATTGACAACGCTGTTAAACTTAAAGAAAACTAAGTTTACGTGCATGTATTTTTCTGAACTGTTGTGTAAATTGCGCAGTTTTCATTCTGATAAGAATATGATTTATTTCAAAAGTTAATATATTTCATGCACATCAACTACTCAAGTTACCTAGACATGAAAACAAATATTAATTATCAAACGCTTTGAGTAAAAGTTACTTACTTTAAAAGTGGTTATGTAAACAGAATAGAAATAAGTGAATTCAAATATAATTTTACAAAGGAAGCTTAAGAAACAATTACATATGGCCGAAATTTCTTTAAGTATAATCCTATATAAAATACAAGCGATTACACAAATTTTAACACTTTTACTTTCTAATAAGGAAATTGTATTCTATTTTCAACAACCCTATTGAAGTGAGATAGATTGTATTGAAATTGGCATTGTCAATGCAATTTTTCTAATTTCAAATAGATCCAAAAGTTGGGTTTATTATTTATTTTTGTCATTTTGTTACCATCAAGTGTGTCTGAAATAGTATGCTATGTTTTATATTGGAAAAGGTTTATAAGTAAGATTGGGCCCTAAGGAAACCCCTTCCGCAACTACTACAAGATGTTTTAAATTTCAAATAGACATTCCCTCTATGATGTAAAGAATCTAATTGTATATATAAATTATTATATATATAGTATTTGTATGTATAGAAAAGGTGTATAGAAATATTTACTTAAATATGCTCCTGTCATTATGGTTTCTTTCCTTTCGCAATGTAAGACTTTGCTATTTTTAAAACACGTTTAGCGAATGGTTGAAAGGCTTTAATATATTTTATGTAAATATAAGTACTGTATAATCAAGAGGTATCTTATGAAAAGTTGATATAAAGCGATGTTGTGTTAGATTAAACTATTTATTGAATGGTTTGTTTGTTTTTACCCTAAAGTCCTGTACATATATTCATTCCATACATTTTCTATATATTACTCGAAATACATTGATGCCATTAAAGCTTTTCACAAACTAATTCACAGAAAAACAAAATGTAGCGAGCTAGTATGAATCCTTTATTAGCAATTTAGCTAGTACTTGAAGTAGGTTTCCCTCTCGTTTAAGTTTAAGATAAGTTTGATTAAACCTACCCTACTTGTCTATTGGTCTGTTTAATACTACGTTTTCTTATTTAACATTCATTCCTTAGACATTCAATTTAGTATGAACTCATATTTACAATCTCGTTTGTGCTTAAAAACATGCATTTGCCAAATGTAAAATCACACACACTCATACCTAATTAATGTATCACCATCCCACATCATACAATATATAGGTGTGTGATATGTATATAGATAAAGTGCTAAACAACACCCTTTATTAGGATCTCTGGTTTTGGCCTATTTAATATTGCACACTGAACGTCTTCGGTCTTAACTAGGGTTAAGCAATTAAAACATTAACATAAAACACGTATTATGTATATTTCCTTGAATAATTTTCTACAAAATCCTCAATAACAAAGTGATACCCAACTATCTCAAACTTATCTACACTATTATGTAGCATCCCAGTATTATTAATTTTTACATTGTTTATTTAACTTATCTGCATATGTTTATTCTGTTTTAGATTATGTCCTGAAAACTCTGACATTATTTTAAAATGAAAGTGGAAATAACATGCGCGTCAGCTATAAATTCAAGTGATAAGTGGAAAATAATGTCCTCTTTAATATGGGATTAGTTAAATGGGAACGCGTTTTTAATGAAACTGAGGGTCTAAACTGAGTTAGGGATATCAATATCGGAGGTTTGGATTTTTAACTGCCCTTTTATTAAAATTCATCTTAAGCTATAAACTCCGTATCACAGAGAACCTCGTGTTTAAAAAGTAATACTTAAGAGATGTTTTTTTAAAGCGTATCGTTTTTGCCCATGTTTGCGTAGCGACATTTTACAACCATGTTTGATATTTCCGCCGTAAAATATGAGGGTTATCAATCCAAGCAGATCTTTTGTTATGCAAATCTTTATGGCTATATCTGAGCTAACATTCGCATAAATGTTAGAGTAAAGCATGCATTTTGTGTACAAAATACAATTATTATCTTTGACAGTTGACTGAACTTACATTCTTCTGGTTTATACTTTAGTTTATTCTTTGGTTTATACTTCCCTATGCATAGTATATGGAAAGTGTGTTGTTTTGTTTAATATTTTAGACTTTGAATTTTTAGAGGGAATATTGGTTTTTGGTCCCGTGGGTTTCGAAGTGATGTCTGTGAGTGTGATCGTGTGTGAATGTATGTGCGAGGGGATTTGTTGTCGGAATTAAAAATTTTGAATTTGAGTACTAATCACAGCAGTTTTTTTTATTGTTTTATAAATCAGATTTTTCCGTCATTGTATAGGGTTTTATAGAAAAATCACAGTTAAAAATTATCAAGATAATCAAATAATCAGATTAAATCTATTTAATCTATATCTTTTTGTGTGTTAAAAACTAAGACTAAATTAGTCTTAGTTTTAACACACATATAGATTAACTATTGTTCTACACAATAAGTCTTCCACATAAAATTGAAAATTTACAACTTATATATGTAAAACAATACAAAATAATTGCAACATCCATAAATAAACTCAACTAGTTTTTTTTTTATCTTTAAAATAAGAAAAAGCCACTCTCTTAAAAAATTATTATGAACCGCTATAATTGGAAATGAAGCGGTTCCCTTGTGCTTTTATTGAAAACTTGGGGAATGAAGATTGGAAATGTGATTCTGAATGATATTGGTTGGATACCGACCACTTTGAAGACGTTTTCCAGATAAATATTATAAATGTATTAAATATATATTCATAGTGCTGTATAGTGTATAACCACCATACTTTTCTGACATACCAATTGATTTTATTTATTCATTTAATTTTATTACATGTATATTATATATATATTTTACAGGATTAATAGGTTTCCTTTTTTTACAACATTAGGAACATAACAAAATCAAACTATATAAAACTTAGACTTTACTATATATGGGTTTTTATAATAAATTATTGAATCAATCTATTAAAGAATAGCCTTCCTTTTAGTTATTCTAGCAAGCATTAAATTACTACTCATTTTAATTAATAAGGGAAATTAAACAAATACGAGTGAGTTTGTGCAGTCATTGATGATTTTTTGTATCTAATAAAACGCATACCAAAACCAATTATTTTTTACGATCTTTTGAAACGTAACAAGTACTGAATGACTAAGGGAAAGATTATGCCACATCTCTAAGTAAACTCAATTTAGTTCGTGTACTTGCCCCGACTCACCCCTGGTAAACAAAATATAATTAACTGGTCTTATGCCTGGGAAACCAGAGTTTATTTGTCTTGTCAACAACCAACCTGTTTAACTTCGTGGTTAAGTGTGCAAAGTAGTTTACTCAAAATTTTAACAGTTGTCAGTTGCATGTAGTTTTTAAATTAATATCAATATTAAATTGGTTTTACACTACATTTATCAGTTCCAAAAAATATTGATCTTCGTTAAAAGTATAACATGTTTCGGCGAGCTGCCATTCTCAAACACTTCATTCCAAGAATATACATTATATCCTATTAGATAGCTTCGTTTTCAACACACGACAGTGCGTAGTAATATTTTTGAGCTTCATCATCAGCGATTGTTCTAAAAACACACTCGGCGGTAATTAAGCTATTAAAAATCAGTTTTTGTTCATTCTATACGCATTTCCTTTTCATCCAAATGTATTTATGTTTTATTAACGGCCTTAGGTTAAAAATCATAATTAAAAAGTACAATTTGTTGCTGAAGTTTTTGAACATTTCATAAATTGGTTATTTTATACTATTGGGTCAATTTTGTATTCCTAATGATCAAGTGCACACAGATCGTTCAACACAAGACAACAAATCATCTAGCTGGGATGTGTATGATTACAATTTTTGTACTTTTTGTACATGAAGACTGTTAAGCAAACTCTTTTTCTTTTAAAGCAATTTTATTTCATATTTGATCTTAAGTTTTGCTCAACAGATTTAGTTCTCTGAGCAGCAGGTGCTTTATTATTATTTATTCGTACTTAGACGTAATTTTGGATTATGTCATGACGTGAACATTCCTTGTCAAACTTGATGTTAAGTGTCGTATTAGACAATTATGTTTCGATATTCCTGTACTGAAAGGCTAGTTGCGCCAGGATTATTAGAATTCATTGTTGTAGCCACGGAGCTTAAATGCATATTAAGTTGGTTTATCATTACTTTTATCAGTTCCAAATATTGATCTTCATTAAAGTGTTACATGTTTCGGTGACCTGCCATTGTCAAACACTTCATTCCAGGATAATGTATTAAATCATTATTGTTTTGTGTTGGAAACTAAGCTACCCAAGTGGATTTAATTAATATTCCTTAAATAAAGTGTTTGACAATGGCAGTTTGCCAAAACGTGTAACAATTTAATAAATAATTAAATATATATACAGTTCCGGGGCTACATCAACGAATTTTAATTAAAATTAAGCCTCATTAGTTAGTTATTAGGTTTGATGCTACCTAGTTATTTCTACCTAGTTTTGATGCTGCTAGTTATTTCTAACTAAAAAATTACATACGATTGAAAATGCAAACTCTTAATACTAAGTTACAACTAACACATGCGCGATTCACTGCACACGTTTTAAGTAGTTTTTTAGTTATTTTAAAAGTGCGATATAAAAAAGCCAGAGATATTTTATTTACAATTCATTTGTTACCAAACTACAGACTTTGGGACCCTCATCTGTACAACAAAATATCCTAGCCAGAGCAAATTTGCAGACTAAGCGAATTATAATTTGTCTGCTGGCATTTTCACCAGTCTGAAGTATTTCTACAAACAAGCCATATTTTATTCCCATTCAAATAACACTACATTTAACGAGTTCTTAGGTTGACCAAATGTTAATAGTTTAATTTAACGGTTTCGTCAATTGGTCATTGTAAAGGACTAATTGTAAATGACTAATCCACAAGGATAAATTGACGCAACAGGTAAATTGACCTTTTATATTTTATACAGTTAACATAATTTTTCACTAACATATCGCCAATTAAGTCCATCCATCATCAAGAGTCCTCTGACCATATATCATTCATAAAAAAATGGGCTGATTAAATTTAAGCATTCTAATGACTGGGTGTTTTAATTAGTTTTATGCTTGTAGAGGGGGTTTTCTGTTTCAACACTGACGGGTAGGATTTTTATACATAACTAAATATATTCAAATTAAATTTTAATAGATAGCTTAATAGATTTTATTCCGATAAGATTTGTCGAGTAATCTTAGGAAACGACTGATATTAGAATAAGCCCTTGATATTTTTTTGAAAAGTAAATTAGGAACTAAAGAACTTATTGGATTTTCCTTCTTCAATATTAACATGCAAGTAAAAATGCTTAGCTAATTACATTTGGTGAATCTGTTTTTCTTATTTTAAGTTTTAACACAATAATATTGCAGTTATATTATAGATTTTTATGTGAAGATAAAATTAAAATAAGTAAATCAATCGGTAAAATGTCAGACTATAACTGTAGGATTATACTTATAACTTAAAATTTGGCATTTTGTTTCCAAACCATTTTATAGAGCTTAAAGAAACAAATAATTAAGTATATTGAAGCGTTATTATGTGCCTAATGGTTACGGAGAAAATTCCAAAAAAACTGTAAATTTAAAATTTCTATGTTGTAGTTTGCTTGTTTATGATCATATATTGATAAAATTCGGAAAATGCATTCATTCCATACCAAACTACTAACATTTTACAAAAAAACACCTCATTACCCTCCCTGTTGTAGCAAATCTTAATACTCGTTAAACTAATGATATTTAAATAGGGAATGAATGTGATATTTTT